AATTAGAAGGCCCGGAACAACTATCACATTCTTGGGCATAACCCTAAATACAGTTTCTATAATAGCATCCGTTCGATCTACGAAACATGACAAATTATTATCTCTACTCAACCAATGGGCTACAAGAAAATAGTGTTTTCACAAAGAGCTTCAATTACTTGTAGGATCACTCATCTGGGTATGCCAAGTTCTTCTGCAGGGTCGCCCGTTTATACAATGATTAATTAGAGCCCTGAACAGTACCAACAACTCGAAACACCACATATGATTAACAAAGCTAATCATCTCTGATATTCAATGGTAGATATCTTCACTAAGAACATAGCCAGGCATTCAACTTCTACAAAACAAGAAATGGCATCAACCCCACATCTCAAAACTATTTACAGATGCTTTAAACATAGGTGGGGGTGCAACATATTGCAACTACTTCACAGCATTCAACTGGTCTAAAGCAGCTAATAGTACAACAACAAATATTCAAATATATAAACTAATGACTACACTGATTACAATAAGAACTTTTGCCGCTATGTGGGAAAGAATAAAACTTGTCGTCTAGACCGACAACCTAGACAACATCAAAGCTTATTATTTAGGATACTCAAAGAACCATGATATTAATATCATAATCTCCGAGATGTACAAAATTCAAATGCACAAAAGTTTCGCTATAAAACTTGAACACATACCTGGAGTTGAAAATACTAATGCAGACTTATTATCCCGCAATAGACATCGAGAATTCATTGCAAAGAACCCATTAGCTCGATACTTACAACCAGATATCCCTGATAAATTCTCCAATCTGATCTCACTTATCCCATCTCTCAAACAATAGATAAAGATGACACAATAAGCAACATAACACACCCCTAGACTGTTCTTTCAACAAATCACAGTAAGTTTAGCAACCAACTATCACTTGATAAAAAAGCAGCAGCAATTCTCAATATTCCAACACCCACCAACAGATCATATGAAGCAATCATCAAACGATACAAAACACTAGTCTCCAACAATAAGTGGTTCAACCAGAACAGGACAATATGGCCAATATCCAAAGGATCTCTTATCAATTATATTATACTATTGTACAAAATAGTGTCACTACCCACAATTCTAACCTATCTTTCTGCACTCAAATATCATCATGCAAGGAACTATTACAACTGGACACCTATTTGCAATGATTCGTTAATAAATTAGCTTCTAAAGTCTATCGACGCAGCACATACACATATCCTAGTAAAGCAGAAGTCACATATCTCCTGACAACAGCTGTATAATGTTAAATCACAACTCAACTTGAACAACCCCACAGACCTATTATTCTGGTTCATTATACTTACAGCATTTTATAGCCTTGCCCATCTTGACGAACTACTACCAAACAACAAATCAAACGCACACAAGGTTCCTACAACCAAGGTATTAAAGTTTGACAAAGTTGGCAACAGCACCTTCACAACAATTCAACTAGCAAAAACAAAAAACCACAAAACAGCGAATCGAGTATCTCTAATCATCAATCCAACTAATGATCCTCTTTGCCCGATCTGTGCTCTTAAGGCATATGCATCTTTGTAAATATAATCAGGCTACGCTAAAGATAACATGATGTTATTTGCAAAACTGGACAGAACTTGGGCCACAAAACAATGGTTTATAGCCAAACTAAAACAACTCATTCTTCATGAATACGTAGCTGGTCATAGCCTCCGAGCAGGAGATACCACTGAATTAGTTATAAGGGGCGTTCAGTTAGTTCTTATTCAAAAAATTGGCAGATAGAACTCCAAATCATTCTACAGATATATTTGAAGCCACCCGGTCACAATCGCAGCCATTCTAACCAGCATCTATACCAACTAGCTCTTTTAAAAAACCCTTTTGGAACAATTCCCAACCCAGTTGATAGCAGCTCCAGCACAATCTCCAACAAACATTATTACACACACACGACACGCAGACCAAAAAAAAAAAAAAAAAAAGAGAAAGCAAGACGCAACACAGAAATAGATGATAAACAACGACTACAAGAACATGTCAAAAAAAAAAAAAAAAAAAAAAAGAAGAGAAGAAAAGAAAAAACAAAAGGACAAATAGAACAATAATAGTAAAGAAATATACATCACCTGTCCTACAACGATACCTGACCCACAAGATATGTTTCATCACCAATTACGAACAATCAACTCCCAACCTATTATTTGATCGAGTTACAAAAAAAAAAAAAAAAAAAACAACCAACATTAATGAAGTTAGAATGAGAAAATAACAACTATAACAAATCATTCACAGGTCATCCTACTTTAACAAAGCCAAGATCTCAATATACCCAAATCAACCCAACCAAGACTAACCCTACGCCAATAACAAGAGACAGAATAAAGCAGAATCATAATCTTACTTAAAACAGTCATCTGATTCTGCCATTCTAATAGCTGGCCTGCTTCAGCAAGCAGAAAACCACCAGCTAAATAATTAGGCTAATATTGCTTATTCAATTTCTACCTAGTCTGTTACTGCGATTTTTAGCGCAATTACTATTGCTAATTTCTAGAATAATTATAGTTTCAGTGCCTATTACTCTTCATACATATATATTTCTATATTATTTCAATAAAATTATTCTTGGCTCTTAACTTAGCCAGCATATCTTCTATATGTGACAAGCACGTGCCAATGTGTTTCGTATATGTTGATAGTAGATCAACAATTCGAAAAACTGGGCTAAACGCAGGACTACCCTGTATCTAGTTCCCAGGATTACAGGATACACGCGTGTATATATGCAAATATATAAGTATAAGTAAAGTTATGCAAACACAAGCTACTCAAAACCAAATATAAATACTCAGAATCAGCTGTTCAACAAACTCTGCTTGAAACTGCAGCATATTGTATTCAGTACACTTCTAACCCACCCAAACCCTCCGCACACAGGCTAGTCACCTGATTCTGCCATTCTAATAGCTGGCCTGCTTCAGCAGGCAGAAAACCACCAGCTAAATAATTAGGCTAATATTGCTTATTCAATTTCTACCTAGTCTGTTACTGCGATTCTCAACACAATTACTATTGTTAATTTCTAGGATAATCATAGTTTCAGTGCCTATTACTCTTCATACATGTATATTTCCATATTATCTCAATAAAATTATTTCTGGCTCTTAACTCAGCCAGCATATCCTCCACATGTGACGAGCGTATACCAATGTGTTTCAAAAATATAAAATTTTATTGTAATTTGATCTCTATATAAAACATGTTATATATTATAAACAAAGAGATAAAGCACTTAAAGAGCTACATAACTGAATAATTTATATTCAAATATGACATATACGTATGTGCAAATTATTAAATTCCCTGCGTATTTTTAATATATAATTATTTTAAATGCAATTTTCATAAACAATAATCAATAAAATATTTTTTTGGTCAACTGATCAAATTGCAAATCAATCAGAAATAAGTTTACTAAAATAATGAAGCTAAAGCTGGAAATAGCTGAAGATCGAATGTAAAAAAATGGATTAAAATTCATTTTTTTTTGCAATAAGTTAGAGTTGCATTATAAATATATTTTTGCAAAATTCATATTTTAAATTGAGATTCTTAATTTTCAGTATTAGTTATAGAAATTTTGATTTGATGGCATAGTACAAAAATAAAAAATAAGTATACATACTGTTAAACAAAGTATTAAGAAATGAATCAAATAAAAAAAACTAAATATTAGCTTACCATGTTTCTGAAAGTAACTTGTGTTTCAGTTAGTTAATTATTAGCTTTGTATAGGTATATTTTTTAAAAAGACCTCATGTTTTAGTTAGTTTTGGATGATCTGCAAATTTACTAGTTTTGCTCTAAGTTTACTCATCAGAGTATTAACATGCTAATTAATAATATATTATTAACCACTTATACTAATATTCTGATTAATAAATTTAGAAGGTAAAATAGTAATACAATATTAGATTTCAGTATTTAACCCGTTATGATGATATCAGAATGATCTAAAAAAATAAATAAATAATTGTATAAATGTAAAACTTGAATAATGGTAGGATTTATATTTTTTTAATACTTTCCTTTAATTTTATATTTCCTTTGACAATATTTTTTTTACACTTTCTTTGATTTTATATTTGCATTTGCATACATTATAGAACCTGATTTAAATAATAACACAGACATATTAAATATTTTACAACATGCTTTGCTTTTAAATTACAAATATATAATAAACTCATTCAAAAAAATACCTGCATATAAATTTCTGGGTGCATATGATCAACTCTTTGAAGCTAAATTTTGTGTTAATATCACCACATATGAGAATGTTAAAACATGGTTAGAAGAATTTATGGATTTGCACAAAGTTATGATGTGAGAAACGCAAGGAAGAGTTATTAAAGGTGTTCATTATTTTCTTTCAAAATAGTTTCACTGTATTCATAGCCATGTTGTAAAACTAAAGCAAAGCACCCATAATAAAGATTTTGTTAATGATGAAATAAAAGAAAGTCAAACTTGTATAAAAAGCACACGACAATGAGACACTAATTGCCTAACAATGCTTAGTATACAGTTGAGTAATAAACCTAAACCCTATCTGTGTATAGTTAATGTCTTCTTCCATCATAATCACCCTCTTAAGTCAAGTCATGCCATAAGTTTCCATTCAGTATCATACTTAACAAAAAATCACCTCTTTGAGCTTTTTAAAGCTGGACATAGTCCTAGCAGTGCTTATTATACATATATAGAACAACTACAATTAGAGTTTGATAATGATGAAGAAGTATTGGCAGACAGAGCAATTTGTTCACATAAAAATAATTTTTATTACTTTTACCAAAAGTTTTGTGTTCAGTCTGTAGGCTCTCAAAATAAAAAAACTATGTTCGATAAATTGGCAGAGGAAATAGTTAAATTTAGTAACAATAAAAAGGAGACATCTGGATGCAACCCTATCTTGCTCCAACAAATGAAGACCCTGGGCAACCATTTATTTTAGTTATAGTAACGAATCTTATGAAACATTATTATATATTACCTTAAGCTAGTGAATTGGTTTATATGAATACAACTGCTAGACTCAACGCTCTTAACACCCCTTTAACAATTATTTCCACAAGCATACCTGTTGGTGGTTTGTCTCTCACTACAATTCTTACATCAGATGAAAAGGCGGAAACTTTAAAAAAAGGTGTTAAATATATTGAAATATAGGATGCTATCAGCAATATTTGGTGAACGTGGATCTTATATTGGTCCACAAGTAATTATGACTGATGATTGTAGAGCCAAAAGAACAGCATTAAGTCGTACCTGGGAAAAGACTACTTTACTTTTGTGTATATTCCATTTTTTGCAAGCAATGTGGCAATAGTTTTGGAATAGCAACCATAATATTCATAAAGACAACCATATAATTCTGATTAACTATATAAAAAAAATGGTTTTCACAAAATCAGAAACTACTCTCAATTTAGAATACATAAATTTGACTATAAGTCAAATTTATCTAAAATATCTAAATTTCCAGTCCTATTTTGAGGCATGTTAGAATCATCATTGAGAATAGGCTATGGTATTTCGTCAAGAATTTTTAACTCGCAATAATAATACAAATAATATTGCAGAAGCAAGAATTCAGATTATAAAAGAAATTATTTTTTATCAGGTTCAAGTCTATAATATTATACAAATATATCAATTTATAGTAAATACAATGGACCTTTACTATGTTCGTAAGTTATTAGCCATTGCTTACAATAAATTAGATCATTTCATTGCACTTCGCTTTAAATTGTCAGGTTGGCAAATTGGAATAAAGAAAGATATAGAAGTTGTGAATTTTGATTCGATGATCTTTAAGTATAGAAGTAGCAAAGATTACAATATACAATACCTTGTAGACATGCGACTTGGAACATATAAATGTAGCCTGATGGGTATGCCATGCAGGCATCAAGCATCTATATCAAAGTACTATCGAATTTGTGGTTTAAACCAAATTCCTACAATATTAGCAAATAAACAGTATAACTATGCATATCTTGCATTAGGTAAAAAATACAAGCTTCTTAGCTTTTATGCCGATCTCTATTAAGCACAGCTAGAAAAAGAAGACTATATAAGTTCAGTACCGAATGATGAACTAGTTCAATTAACCAACAATATGAATGATAAAAATAAAGAAAACTTACTATTTTTAGCTAAACCTTTATATGACGATTATAACAACCATGGTGTCTACAATGATAATAATTTAGTCGCTGATAATAATACTAATAATGGTATTAGTAATAGGAAAGATATTGAAAATGACATTAGTGATAGCGATGATATTAATTATGTTGAAGACATTGATGATAGTAAAAACACAGTTGATAATAAAGATATGGAATATAGTAAAGATATTGAAGATGATGATATTAGTAATATTAAAACTTTATTAATTAATTAAATACATAATATTATTATATAAGCTAATTAATTTTGTTTAATTAATTATAGATTCAGTAATTGAAAATTATTATAGTAATAATAGCGATAGTGCTATAGACAAATTACATTGGTTTTATCAGGATATAGAGAGTCTTCTAAAAGAAAATGACCCTGTATTAAATAAGAGTGTACATAAGTTTGTTAAAATTTACAGCAAACATCAACTTAAAGAAGATGCTTACGTTCGTCCTGCTGTGGCATTCTTTCTTTAGACTTGCAATTGGAATACAGGTCAGGTTTATGGTAAAAAAAATTAGCTTGAGGGAAAG